GGTTGATTCTATGATTCTATGAAGGCTGGAACTTCTCAGTTTTTCCTCCCCTTCTACACCTGCTGTTTTACGTGTATGAAAGGAAATATTCAAACAAGTATGTTTGCATTTGCTACACATTGCTTCAAATTATCCCTTCTTTCCTCCCCAAACATATGCTCACGGAACAAAAGTGGGGAAATCATGACAGTAAGAAAACACTGAGAGCAGAAACTTAACTTTTGAATGACTGATTGATTTATTATTATTTGTGTCTGTGTTCAAAAATCCAGAAGTTACTGAGTACAATAAATGGCAGCGCTTCAGATACTAAATCTTCTGCCTCAAGCTTTAAGCAGACCTCAGCTGAGTTTGGAGAACCCCCCAAGGATCCCAACATGTACTTCCACAGTGGTTCTATGTCTGTCTTCAACAGATGCGTTTGGAGGTGTTTGTTGTGACAGCTCCTTTACTTGCAGGCAGCATGTTTGAGCCGTAGCAATGTGCATACCAAGTCCTAGGGGCTCTCATGTGGCAATGTTTTCCCAAAGATGTTGCTTTGTATTAGTAAGTGAATAGTGGTGCCAGTCCCTAGTAATCACCAGATACTACCAAGTCACGGGTCAGAAACTTTTGATTAAGTGCTATGAAGTCATTGTGGCTTGCTTTGAATTTACTTCTGTGCTTGAACCACAAAGTAAAATTTGTGGAGACGAAGTAAGGCCTATTTATTGTCCTTGAAATGTTATTTATTAGTTCAAGTATTTAAAGAATCCAAACAAATTTGTGCCTTTTTGACCATAGTCCCTTACCTTTCTTGGAAATAATACAGGTTTATGGAGGAGCACAAAGCTATGACTCAAAAATTCACAACTGAGCAAGAGGTTCTTCTCCAAGAGCTGAAAAAGAAACATGTGGATGAGCTGGAACTACAAAGTCAGCAGTTGCAGGAGGAGCATAAGCAGCAAATTTTGTCTCTGACAGCTGAGTTTCAGACAAAGCACCAAGCTGAAATTGAGACACTTAAATCTACGCTGGAAAGTAAACATCAGATTCAGCTGAAATCTTGTGTTGTTGAACTACAGGCAAAGCATCAGGCCCAAACTGATGAGCTGGAGGCTAAACACTTGTCAAATCTGGATTCCTTGGAGTTGTCCTACTTGTCTGAAATTCAGAATATAAGAGATGAGCATACTCAGGCTCTGGAGAAGCTACAGCTGCAGCACACAGAAAAGCTCCACGAACAGGAGAAAATGCACCAAGCACACCTGGTTCAGGAGGTGGAGATGCTGAAATTAAAGCATGCTGAAGAACTTCAGCTTTGCCAAAACAATTTGAAGATTGAGCTAGCTACTGTTCATATGGAAAAGCTTAAAGCCATGGCTGTTGAAGCTGAAGAAGCTCATAAGGTGGGTCAGAAAACCTGGCACAGAAGGTGAAATTTCATGGTACATTGTGTGGAATCACCTTTTTCCTTTGTTCTTGGGTTGTAATTCTACAACCTCTTTGTGCCAGCACTAACACCTGTGTGTACTCATATTGTGAGCTGAAATAGGAGGCTCAAGCTGAAAATTCAGTCCATCTGTCACTCCCTGCCCTGAATGCTCAGTCTACTGAGTTTTCAGTTTCAGTGTGTGGAAAGGCTGTAAATGAGGTAAATCTTTGAGCATAATTCAGGCTGGAGGTTCTCCATTTTGTGGCTCAGAGCTACTCTGCCTGATAGTTACCATGTAATTCTTCAGAGAGATTAGAGCAAAGCAAATGTCATTCCAGAGGTTAAGTCACATCTCTAGGAATCTAAAGAACCTCCCTAAGAATAGAGGATTTACAAAACATTTGCTAGATAAAAAAATAAACCCATTTCAGTGCCATAGAGCATATGTACTCTTCCACATCCTTGCTGGGGATATGGACAGTGGATTGAGTGCAGCCTCAGCAAGATCACTGACCACACCAAGTGTGTGGGGCAGTCACAGCTGGAGGGAAGGGATGTGCCATCCAGAGGGACCTTTACAGGCTGGAGAGGTGGAACAATGCAAACTTCATGAAGTTCAACAAAGCTAAGTGCAAGGTCCTACATCTGGGCCATGGCAATGCCAGGCACAGCTACAGGTTGTGTGGGGAAGGAATTGAAACCAGCAGTGAGGAGAAGGACTTGGGAGTGACAGTGGATGAGAAGCTCCCCATGAGCTGCAGTGTGAGCTCAGCCCAGAAAGCCAATCCAATCCTGGGCTGCATCCAAAGGAGTGTGGGCAGCAGGTCAAAAGAGGTGATTCTGCCCCTCTGCACTTGTGAGACCCCACCTGTAATACTGCACACAGTTCTGATGTCCTCAGTGTAAGAAGGACATGGAACTGTTGCAGCAAGTCCAGAGGAGGCCACAAAGTTACTAAGAGGACTGGAGCATCTCCCCTATGAGGACAGGCTGAGGGAGTTGGGGCTGTTCAGCCCCAGAGCAACCTTTCAATACCTGGAGGGCCTCCAAGGGAGCTGGTGAGGGACTGTGTGTTAGGAACTACAGTAACAGGATAAGGGGTAATGGACTCAAATTGTAGGAGGGGAAGTTTAGGTTAGATATTAGAAAGACGTTTTTCCTGTGAGGGTGCTGAGACACTGGCACAGGTTGCCCAGGGATGTGGTAGCTGCCCCGACCATGGTAATGTTCAAGGCCAGGCTGGATGAGCCTTGAGCAACCTGATCTAGTGAGGAGGTGTCCCTGCCCGTGGCAGGGGGTTGAAACTGGATGATCTATAAGGTCCATTCCAACCCCTAAAATTCTATGCTTCTATGTGTATTCTATGCTTCTAGGTGTATGTTGCCTCATTCCTGAGGCAATATTTTTCCTGTTTTCTTACAGGGTTTTTCCAACAGGAAGACGTGTTTTACAAATGGGTTGCAAAGGTATTTGGACTTACTTTGGTTTTTTCTCCCCTTTTAAAATTAATGCTTTCACAGGATGATTTGAACGCAGCTCTTCGAAATCAACGGCAGTTGCTGGAAGAAGAGAAACGTCTGGCTCTGGTTCTGTTACATGAGGAAGTGTTCCATATGGAGGAAAAGCACAGAAAAGCACTCCAGGAGCTTCAGGATCTTCATGAGGCAGAAATTAAGAAGCATAAGGAAGAGTACTCCAGGGAGCTGGAAAAAGAATTGGGGAAACTGAAAGCACAGCATGAACATGAGCAAGAGGTCAGAATGCTACTAATACCCAAACCCAAAATAATCCATACTTTAGCCAAAGTAAATTTTGACCTCAGAAGTAAGGCTGTATACCTAGGTAATTTAAGCCCATGTTTGTGTTACTCCCTTTCTGGAGGAGATGGAGGGGGCTGGACTAGCTTTCTTTGGAGATCCTGCTGTATTTAACCCAAAATTTTAAAACTGCCATTTTGATTTGAAGCTCATGGGCAGCAATTCTGGTCATTAACCGCTTGTGGAAAGTAACTGCTCACCTCAAGTTTTTATAAGTGGCAAACCAGTGCTAATATATACTTCTTCTCACACTGATTAATTCTTCCCTTAGAGAAATGACAGCAGGTAATTCTTTTCCAAGTAGGATTTCTCAGTGAAGTTTGGAAGTTTTCCTCTTGCTCTGAAAGCTTTTCTGTGTCTTCATGTTGGGAAAGCTTGTCTGTAAGCTTGATGTTCAATTTTTATAGCCTTATCAAAGTAATCATCACACTAAGTTCTCTTTCAGCATAGAAATGAAACAAGATCTTCTATTTGTTCAGTCCTTTATGCAGTCTGCCTGCTGTGGATACGAACAGCCAAGACTGATCAAGGCTCTTCACTTTTCTAGGTTATATTCATTAAGCAGGAGATGTCACCAAAAATGAGCTTTATCCAGCTATAACTACATAACATATGTGAAGTTAAAATATAGTTAACTTCTGCTTTTTCACTTTCTGACTTGAAAATTGGATAGTGTTCCAAGTAACTCTCAATTGCTTCTGGAAAAATAGATTGCCTAGGAAGGTAGTTTGTTTGGTGTTCTGGGAGGTTCTAATGGTTATTCAGTTTTTAAGCCCTTCGTCCTAGAAGCAGAATTTGTCTAGTCTGTCAACTACAGTGACTCCACTTAGAGGTAGTAATAAGAGAAAAACCCAAGTGAACACAAAAACCTCAAACCTTTCTCTGTTGTATCTCACAGTATAACTGCATTAAATCTTTGCTCCCATTTGAACAAGAGAAATCACATCTAACTAATGCGCCCATGGCAGGGAAGGGTGGGATTAGATGATCTGTAAGGTCCATTCCACCCCTTAAATTCTATGATTCTGTGCTCTCCCTGTGGTTCTCTCCCCATCTTTCCTCCTTATTTCTTTAAATTTCTCTTAGGGAAGTATCTGTTGGAAACAATAGGTCTGGAGTACTTTGTTAGTCTGACTGGGTGGTCTCATGGATACAGGAGATACTTACTTAATATCTTGTATCTTGTTGCTTCGTATCTATTTTTATCAACTTGCTTTCTCCATACCCAGCATGATCATAGAATTTAGGGTTGGAATGGACCTTACAGATCATCTAGTCCCAACCCCCTACCATGGGCAGGGACATCTCCTCCCTAGATCCGGTTGCTCAAGGCCTCATCCAGCCTGGCCTTGAACACCACCAGGGTCAGGGCAGCCACCACATCCCTGGGCAACCAGTGCCAGTGTCTCACCACCCTCACAAGAAAAAACTTTTTAGTATCTAACCAAACTTCTCCTCCTTAGGTTTGAACCCATTACCCCTTGTCCTATCACTGCAGTTCCTAACACAAAGTCCCTTTCCAGCTCCCTTGTAGCCCCTTCAGATACTGAAAAGTTGCTCTGAGTTCTCCACACAGTCTTCTCTTCTCCAGGCTGAACAGCCCCAACTCCCTCAGCCTGTCCTCATAGGGGAGGTGCTCCAGTCCTCTTAGCAACTTTGTGGCCTCCTCTGGACTTGCTCCAACAGTTCCATGTCCTTCTTATGCTGAGGACACCAGAACTGTGTGCAGTATTCGGGTCGGGTCTCATGAGAGCAGAGTAGAAGGGCAGAATCCCCTCTTTTGACCTGCTGCCCACACTCCTCCTTTGGACGCAGCCCAGGATTGGATTGGCTTTCTGGGCTGAGCTCACACTGCAGCTCATGGTGAGCTTCTCATCCACTGTCATTCCCAAGTCTGTCTCCTTACTGCTGGAGGATAGTCACCAACTCTGTATGACTTCGGGGATTATGAACATACTCTTAGGAATTTGGTCGAGCTTGATGGCTTTGGTTTGGTTTTATTTCTCCCTTAATTCTCAAACTATATCTAAAGTATTTTGTGTCCCTTCCTTGTCTGCAGCTTTATGCTTCTGCATCAGCCTCTGAAGTCGAATCTGTGCGAACAGCTCTTCTGGCTCAATTTGAGGAGATAAAATTGAAGCAGCAGCTTCAGTTCCAGGAGGAGATTGAGCTGTTGAAGTGTCAGTCGGAGATGCTGCTGGAGCAGCAGATTGCACAGCTGAAGGTGGGCTCTGGTGCAAATGCACTCCTGATATGCACTGGGAGTGTGTTTCACCTAAGAAAAGCAATTGGTATAGATTTTTGTTCTTCAGCCTCTAAAATGACAGTCTGAGTTAGATCTCTTTGTAGTTCACTGTGTTAGAACTAGGGAAGCAGCACTGGAAACAAAGCAGTGTTCTGTGAGGAGCTGTGTTTACCACGTGGTTATCTTACAGTCCAGAACTGGATGTGAAGGGGTGTCCTTCAAACAGAATCAGAATAATCAGCAGAACATATTTGCTTTAAGCAGCATTCCTTGTATAGTGTGACATTTAAGACTTTTTCTTGCTGTCTGCAGAGACTGGGCCCTTGGCCTGTCAGCCTGTTTCAGCTGCACTCTTGTTTATATGTTCAGTGCTATCTAAGCTTTTACCAAGTGTGTGGTGACAGTGAGCTCTTTGAGATATTTTATTGTTGTTGTTCTTAATCTCTGCTTTCATGGCTTCATCACTTGAGTTCCAAATTTTCATCAGGATAAGCATCTTCAAGATGTTTCCTACCTCTGACCTTCTGGAGTCTTGATCATGTTCTCTGTGTTGAAATGGAGACACACACCAGGAGTGTGTCCTGAAAAGCTGCTGCAGGTGTATTTGGCATTGCTGCCCTTAGCTGAACCCCAGCCTTGGGCCCACAGGAGCTGGGACCAGGCTGAGTGTTATACAGATACTCCAGATGTGATTCCTGTTTTTCTCTCTCTTGTGCTGCCTTAATTAGTACACCATAAAGCTCATTTTTTCTGGAAATTCGGCCAGGTCTAATTGTCCTGCCAGTAGTGCTGTCTACGGGGTTTTTTTCCTTGTGAACTTGGCAACCTGTCTTCTGTCCTAGGAGAGACTCCATAGATCTCTTTGCAGTGCTAGTCTGAGCTGCACTGTGGGCTGATACAGTTCTTCATGACCAGCCTTCCCCTGCCCACTCCCCCGTGCTCATTTATGCAGTTCTTTTTATGCCAATCAGTTTTCTTGCTTCCTTTGTTCTGCCACCCCTAGCAGATTTTATGTACTCAGAGTTGCTCCTTGTAGTCTAACATACTCTGGAAGTGGATGCACTGCTTCTGAGAAGAATAGGCAGGCTGTTCCGCAGACTTTGTCCACAAATTCTATGTCCTAGGTCAAGCAAAGTCCTCCTACTCCTTTGTGTCTGTTAATTTTTACCATCCTAACTGCTAAGCACTGTGCAAGGACTGGCTTAGTCTACCACAAAGGATCCAGGTCAACTCAGGTGACTGTGTTCTGCTCTGAGGTCTTATTTCATGCCCTGAGGAAAAACTGTTTTCTTGACCTTGGAGTGTATTGGTGGTCATAAATCAAATTGTCTGTTTTGTTTTTGTACTGTGATTATGTCCCAGTTCTGGTGTTGCAGAAACAACTACTAATCTGGATTCCTTTTAGCCTTTTGGCTTAGTCTCTTCAGCATGTCCAGAGAAAGGCAGCAGAGCTGGGGTAGGATCTAAAGCTCAGGTCCTCTAAGGAGTGGCTGATGGAGCTGGAAGTGTTCAGCCTGGAGGAAAGGAGGCTCATGGGGGACCTTCTTGCTCTCTAAAACTCCCTGATGGTTGTAGCCAGGTGGGAGTCAGGCTCTTTTCACAGGGAACAAATGACAGGACCAGAGGAAATAGCCTCTAGTTGTACCAGTGGAGATTTAGAACGGTATTAGGGAAAATTTCTTCACTGAAAGAGTGGTCAAGCACTGGCATAGGCTGCCCAGGGCAGCGGTGGAGTCACTGTCCCTGGAAATGTTCAAAAAGGAGTATGGGTGTGGTGCTTAGAGACATGGCTTAGTGGTGGACTTCTGGGAGTGCTGGGTTAATGGTTGGACTTGGTCGTCTTAGAAGGCTTTCCCAGCCAAAATGATTCTATGATTCTCTTCGGGAGGAGATGCCAGGACCTTGTTTTACCTCCCTTATTTGCTGATGCAGGAGTGGGGGATGTCTAATAGTGGCTTCCTTCAAAGTGCTTTCACAGAAGCATTTAGGTAGGAAAAGACCTCCAAGATCAAGTCCAACCTGTGACCAATCACCACCTTGTCAACTAGACCAAAGCACTAAGTGCCATGTCCAGTAATTTCCTGAATATCTCCAGGGATGATGACTCCACCACCTCCCTGGGCAGCCCCTTCCAATGTTTAACAACCCTTTCTGTGAAGAAATTCTTCCTGATGTCCAACCTGAACCTCCCCTGGTGCAGCTTGAGGCTGTGTCCTCTAGTCCTGTCACTTGTTCTCTGGGAGCAGAGCCTGACCCCACCTGGCTACAACCTCCTGTCAGGAGGAGAGCGAGAAGGTCCCCCCTGAGCCTCCTTTTCTCCAAGCCAAACAATCTCAGCTCCCTCAGCAGTTCCTCATAGGAGCCTACTCCAGCTCCATGCCCTTCTCTGAACATGCTCCAAGCCCTCAATGTCTCTCTTGAAGTGAGGGACCCAGAACTGGATGCAGGACTTGAAATGCCTCACCAGTGCTGAGCACACAGGGACAATCACTGCCCTGGTCCTCCTGGCCACACTATTTTTGATTTTTATCATAGTTTCAGCATGGTTTTGTTGATTGGGAGTGTTAACTGTCTAAGTTACTGCTAGTTAATGTCAGAGGTAGAATGTGTACTTCTAAAGAATGCCAAAAAAAGGGTGTGAGGTGGGTGTTTGGTTGAGATTTTTTTGGGAGAATGGTGGTGGCATGTGGTTTTTTCCCCTCTCTTTGTAAATCCAAGAATGTGTGATTTCTGCAGGATGAATTTGAAGCTGAAAAGAAGGCGTCACTGCATGACAAGGAGCAGGTGTTTGTTCAGGAGAGCAAGAAGGCACAGGCTGCTCACCAAAAGGAGCAGGAGATGTTATCAGCCCAGCTGCAAGAAAAGGCAGCAATAATCACCCAGGTGCATGGAAAATGTTTTCAGCCTAGATTTTAAATGTATTGTTGGGGTTGTATTTTAGCACAATGCTCTGTCCTGTCTCGAGGTGCATATAGAGGGACTGCATATATAGTACTGTGCTATATTAGACTGCTCTGTTAGGCCTTTCTGTTCAGGGGAAACACTGGAAGTGACACTAAGAATTCCTTACTGGTAATGCTTTATTGTGTCCAGCTCTGGCAGGATTTGGTGTGGGGTGAGAAGGTTGGCACGGGATCATAATGCTTTTCTTTCTATGCAGCTTCCTCCCAAATAGATATTTTGTCTTAATTGTTGGCATATTTATCATAGAATCAACCAGGCTGGACAGGACCTCCAAGAAAGATCATCAAGTCCAACCCTACCGTGGTTACTAGACCATGGCACTAAATGCCACATCCAGTCTCATCTTCAAAACCTCCAGGGATAGTGAATCCACCACCTCCCTGGGCAGCACATTCCAATGCCTGATCACACACTCCATAGAAAAACCTCTTCCTTATATGCAACCTAAACCTCCCCTGGCAGAGCTTGAGTCTGTGCCCTCTTGTCCTCCTGCTGGTTGCCTGTGAGAAGAAACCAATCCCACCTGACTCCAACCTCTTGTCTCAGGGAGTTGTAGAGGGTGATAAGATCTCCCCTGAGCCTCCTCTTCTCCAGGCTAAACAACCCCAGCTCCCTCAGCCTCTCCTCATAAATGAGACAGAGTTTCTAACAAAATGGGTCTCATTTGTTTGGCAGCCAAATCTGGAGGTAGATGTGGGTACACACACATGTATTTTTATTCGTGTATACACATATGTTTTGGTCAGATAGAGGTATCATCTGAACATACAAATATGAGGAGATAAGCCATTTTTCCAGGAACTTGTTTTCAGGAAGTGTTTCTAAGGCAAAATGTAGCCAAAATTGTTGACTTTGTTGCATTGTCACTGTATTTCCACAGCTGGAAAAGGAAGTGGAGTCTTTAAAGCATGAAATAGAGGAGACCAACTCTGAGCTGGAGACACTCCTTCAGCGGCGGGACAGGGAAAACCAGGAAGAAGGGAATTTGGTAGCCTTGTTGAGATCTGATATTGAGCAATACAAGGGGGAAAGGTTTGTTCATCTTTGGTTACATAATCCTTTTTTTGCTTGCTTGCTTGTTTTCTCACTCCTCATAAAGAATCAGTAACCAGGAAAATGAAGCTAGCTCAAATTAATAGTGTAGGATGATGATATATTGGTTTTATTCCCAGCTTTTTTTGAGATTTTTTTTTTTTCCATTGCCAACCTATTTTGACATGGAAAGCAAGTTGGGTTTTTTTCTTGCTCTTTTTCTTGCAGTGTGCTGAAGACTTTTTAGTAGTTTGGGGTTTTCACTGTCTCTAATCTTGGAAAAAACTTAAAAAATGGGGAAAGGTTCTGTGACAGAGGCTTTTGGTGCAATGTAGATTAGTTTGACGTGTTGTGGGAATACATTGGTTAGGAAGGCTGTCATGTTGAATCAGCTTCAAGAATTCCCTCTCTCATAGTTAAGAAATTGGCTTTTTGTTTTTCTTAACCCTAAAATGTGATTTATGCTGTCGGCTCTGCCCCAACACTCCTAGTTATTTTCATGTCACATCATCTTTACTATAGTATCTGTATCCTCCTTACTGCTGCTTCCATGGGTGTAGAAGACTGAGATTGCTGCTGGCTGCAGTATGATCTACCTGTGGAGAAGACCAAGTTGTTTTGCTGAACCAGCTCTTTGAAAATGACCTTTCTGTTTTGTGAATCGCCTTCACTGATAAAGATCAAACCATGGCAAGATCTCCTTTCTAGATTGTCACGTTTCTGTAGTTTCAAAGTGTCTTTCAGAACAGGTGCTGCATGTTTTGAAGTGTTCAATGTGCTTTTGTTCTAGGGAAAAACTGCAGGAATCTTATCACCATGTTTGGAAATTGCTCATGGAATTGGTGAAGGCCACAATAGCTATTGAGGACCTTATCTGTAGCAAGATTGGTCTTTGCCTCGATGACAGTCTGGCATCTGGAGATTCCAGAGGAACTCTCAGTATTATAGAAGAAATGGGATTCATGCAATATTTCAAAGCCAAAGAAAAGCATCACCTGGAAAAAGGTGAGTCCAAAGCTGCAAACCTGAATGTAGTCAATTCGTGTTCTTGAAAAATACCTTTTCATTTTCTGTCATGTGGATGAAGTTCAGAAGGAAGATACCTGTTGTCACAATATTTGTGTCCTGTGAGGTCACTCCACACCTAAGTGAGGTGTCCCTGTCCAGGGTAGGGGATTGGGACTAAGTGGACCTGTAAGGTCCATTCCAACCCCTGAATCCTATGATTCTGATTCTATGAATATTCCCAAATGTTGTGAAAAACCCTCTTGATTTTTTAGCATTGAATTGTTGATGTGTCCAAGTTTTCAGCTTGTAGTACATCTCCAGAACCAGCCAATGTCACTGTCTGGTGTCAGTTGTCTGAGTAACCAGTTCTGTGCCTAGCTGTCATTTTTGTGGTTTTAAATAGCTTGCTTGTTTTCAGTAGAGGAGCTGCTTGAAGAAACTCTCACAGAACACAACCAGCTGTCTCCAGGGACTGATGAGGGCTCTGAGTTGAGCCAATACTTATGTGAAAGTATTTTTGCAAAGCCAGAGTTGGCATATGAAAACGAAGAGATGATACTGAAAATTTGTCATCGTTTACACACTGCAGTGGAGAGACTTCTGGAACTGGTTACAGAGTCAACTAAACAGGTAAATCTTTTTAACCTATGTACAGCAACCTGTTCTAGTGGAAGGTGTCCCTGCCCATGGCAGGCAGGTGGAATTGCATGGTCTTTAAGATCCATTTCATGATTCTGTGATTCTCTGTGTGACACTAAAAATGTGAGGTCAGTTTTAAGGCTGTGTATTTTGCCTTCTAGCAGATGCTATGGGAAGGCAAGAAGTTGTTTGTAGATTTAAACTAGGATTTTAGATGCATTTAGGAGACCAAGACTGAAGTATTTTGAGGTTTTTTTGTCACACTTCCCATCAGTGCCAATTCAACATTGATAAACGGGTTCAGGAAAACTCAATCTGATGTTAAAATGTTTTGGGAATGTGTAGAAAGCGGCAAACAAACATCATTTGATTTATACACTGTTTAATTGTGACAAAAGGAGCTGGGACTCTATATCAGAAAAGCACTTGAATATTTCCATTCTGGGTTTAGACTGTCAGACTGCAAATCTGAGGCAGATGCACGAGTACTCTCTACATCTAGAGGACTGAATTTAGTGCTGCAGTAATTAGCTTGTTGAGTAAGGAAGCCCCTAACTTAAGAGAGAATATGAAGGGAAGGAGCATGTCTGAAATTAATCTACTCACCATGTACTTTGTGAAACCCAGAGATAAATGTCTGTGTAAAATGAGTGTTCACCACCTTAAAAAACTCCATCCTAGAATGAGGGGCTTAAATTTGTACTTTTAGGTACTGCTGCTGGTTCCACTAGCACACAGTTAACTTGTGCTTAGAGCACTTGCCCAAGCCATAGCAGATCTAGGTTTGAGGTGGCCTGTGTTCAAGCATACTGTGCTTACTTGTGGTGTACCTTGGACACCTGATGATGTGTGGACTTCACTGCCTGAATCTGTTGAGCAATTTAAGTGTAAGGATGCTTTGAATTTCAAGTGGCTGAGGAGCAGTTTAGCCAACAGGGAGGTATTTCTTTTTATGCACATTAAAGAAACTTTTGTTCCTAAGGAAGATTTGTTGCAAAAATCCTGATATGCAAGTATAGGGATTCACCAAAGTGTCCAGAGCTTTTAGGCAAAGCCAACCTAGTACTAGAGTGAAACTTCCAAACTTGGACATTAATGCATAAATGTTGTTTAAAAATTAAGAAGGTTTTTGTTTAAATGTCTGCAGTCTTATTACATTGCATATGCATCCAAGGTCTGATGCCAGGGCAATTTGTTCACTTGTAGCTGGAGAAAATGCATGAAAACCATGCACAGTTTGAAGAGGAATTCGGCCGCCGAAATCAGGAGACGGCCCAGGTGGTGAGTCAGCACCAGGAGCTGATGGAGTGCCTCAGTGAGGAGAGTGAGGCCAAGACTCAGCTGGCACTGGAGCTTCATAAAGCAGAGGGTAAGGAAATCAATATAAGGAGATTTCAGTGTCATTTACTCATAGCTCATTCTTCCCAATATCTATGATGCACTTTTTGTGTCCTGGATTTCTTGGGCTCTGAATCAAATGTTTGATATTACTTTCTGGAGAATCTTTCTTTCAACCTCAGCCTTCAGCAGTGGATGTGTCTGGCTGTCCTGTGTTGTGAGCTGATCCCAGGCCCTCAAAGCTTAATGATCCCAGTATGTATTCTGCAGGTTTGGAGATGTTTTGTGGCATGGCAGCCTCATGAAATCTGTTGGAAGACATTAGCTGGTACATTTTGTTCCTTAAGGTACTTCCAAAAGCCTAGCTACAGTGAAAACTTCAATCAGCTTTCAATTCTTGCTTTCTACTTCACCTTCCATTGTTTGCCAAAAATTGTTTGCTAATATTTTCAAGTTGCTTCTTCCCAATAGATGAGTTGGACTTTATTTGCACTGTGGCTTTGCCTTTCTAGGCATTATCGAAGGCTACGTTGCAGAAAAAGCTGCATTGGAAGAGGCCTTGAACCTGAAAGAGGAATCGGAGCGTCGCCTCGTTGTGGAGCTGGAGAACATGCGCGAATGCTTCCAGAAGCTAACCCAGGAGCAAGCAATTCTTGGTGAGGAGTGGGTATGGCCTCATTAGAGGAAAACCACGCTGTCTCCAGTCAGGGCACACTGCAATGTGTTTCTCTAATGTCCCTATGTTTGGTTTGATGACGTAGTGAGCAGCTCAGACTGGTACAGAACCTAGCAGGTCTTCCTGTAGAGCAGAAAGCAAAATAAAGCAGTTGTTCCTTTGCTTGTAAGATGATAGTACTGTTAATAAAGAGTACTGCTGTAGTTGTATCCATAGTTAGCATGGGGAAGTGTTTGAGAAATGAGACGTGTGTTAACTCCAGATAGTTAGTTGCAACAGGTAATTGGCACCTAGTTAGTAACTGAAATGCTGGTTCTTTGGCACTACGGTCAGAGAGAAGAGTTGGAGCTTCAAGGCTTTTGGCTGCTTCCAGGGCTAAGGAGAGAGCTTAGTAATGACAGAACAAATAAACTTGTCCTGGAAAATAATTTGAATTATGAAGACATTATGGTGATGATGTGTACTCAGGTTTAGACAGAAGCTCTTCCTCTGCTCACACACATGATCAGTAAGGGTGACTGGGAAGATCTTAGTGATCAAGCGCAAAGTCTATTTAGGCTTTAAAAGGAAAGTATATGGGTTGGAAAAGCCGAATGAGGTAGTACTGTTGGGAAGGATAACGTGAAGCAAGGGTCTTACATTTTTGTGTAAAGGGTGACGCAGTGCAAGCTGGATATAGCCACTGAAAGACCAAATCAGACTTGGGTAAGTAGGTGCACGTAAGTATGGGATATGACCTTGACAGGTTTGAGAGGTGGCCAATGCAAACCGCATGTAGTTCAACAAAATGAAGTGCAAGGTCCTACATCTGGGCCATGGCAATGCCAGGCACAGCTACAGGTTGTGTGGGGAAGGAATTGAAACCAGCAGTGAGGAGAAGGACTTGGGAGTGACAGTGGATGAGAAGCTCCCCATGAGCTGCAGTGTGAGCTCAGCCCAGAAAGCCAATCCAATCCTGGGCTGCATCCAAAGGAGTGTGGGCAGCAGGTCAAAAGAGGTGATTCTCACCCTCTGCTCTTGTGAGACCCACCTGGAATACTGCACACAGTTCTGGTGTCCTCAGCATAAGAAGGACATGGAACTGTTGGAGCAAGTCCAGAGGAGGCCACAAAGTTGCTAAGAGGACTAGAGCATCTCCCCTATGAGGACAGGCTGAGGGAGTTGGGGCTGTTCAGCCTGGAGAAGAGAAGACCTCAGAGCAACTTTTCGATATCTGAAGGGGCTACAAGGGAGCTGGAGAGGGACTCTGTGTTAGGAACTGCAGTGATAGGACAAGGGGTAATGGGATCAAACTGAAGGAGGGGAAGTCTAGGTTGGATATGAGGTTGTGAAGTTCTTCCCTGTGAGGGTGGTGAGACACTGGCACAGGTTGCCCAGGGATGTGGTGGCTGCCCCAACCCTGGCAGTGTTCAGGGCCAGGCTGGATAAGGCCTTGAGCAACCTGGTCTAGTGAGGAGGTGTCCTTGTCCATGGCAGGGGGTTGGGACTTGATCTGTAAGGTCCATTCCAGTCCCTAAGTTCTATGATTCCCTGATGATATGATTCTAAGTCTAAGGGAGCCTAGAGAAATCTAACAATGGACTGGTAGGTCTGGAAAAGGAAGAGGAGAGCAGAGTGGTACAGAAGGCTGGTTATGGGAGAAAAGAGGAAACCAAGACTAAACAATAAGGATCCACAGAGCTCTGTACTAACTTTGGAATCTAGCAGTGAAGTGAAATTTGTAGATGCCAGATTGAAAGAGGCATTTCTATTATGCTTCTCTCCCAAGCTAAGTGCAGACTTCACTCCTGAGTGGCAAACACTGAGATCTGATACATTCATGGTTGCTGTGATTGTTTTGTGGTCTACTCAAAAGATAATTCTCCTATAATTTTTTTAGTTTAACTTGATTTACATACACATAGAAATTCATAGATATGTTCTCTTTCATATTCACTGTCTCTTGTTTCTAGGCTTTTTCTTTTCCCTCAGGGTGTGAGCTGGACAAACCAAATCCCTCAGGTGAATAAAGACTTAGCTAGGTAAATCCCTGTGCGAGTCACATAGCTGCACGGAGCTGTTTTGCCCGTTACTGTATCTTTATTTCTTCTGTCCATTCAGATCTCTGTCAAACACTATTTTTATTGAACTTATTTTTGGTAACTAGCTCACTGCCCTGAGATTTACTGCTGCATTCTGAATGAGAAGGAATGTAGAACGGAGCTGGTTACGATGTATTTTGGGACTGACATTCTCACAGGAGCTCCAGTCCTGCTCTTACCAGCAGTATTTGCTCAGTGAGTGCTGAGTCCTAAAACTCATCCCTTTTCTTCCACCCCAACCATTTGTAGTACGCTTCCTCTGTTTTGGAATTGTTTGTAGTCTGTGGAAAACACGATAAATTTAACTCTTATTGTTGGGAGTTGATTGACGTGGCTTATTCCTTGAAAAGCTGACACCTCCTCCTGCTTCTGATGTGGAATACTAATGTGAGTAGAATGGCCTTGCTAGTTAAATACACTCAGGGTGGAGCTTGACATTTGCTGATGACCTTGGGCGGGGGGAGGAGTGTGCTGGGACCTTACCTGAGGGGAACTGCATGGTTTTCATTAAAAGTAATGAAACAGCAGGTTTGTCCATACAAAGACACAAATCTGTGAACTGAGGATCTATTTGTGTTGCTTGCAATTCTATTTATACACTTGGGGAACATGTGCTTAAAGAAAAAAACACTCAAAAAAAAAAAAAAAAAAAAAGAAAGAACCGCTCAAAAAACTGGTCAGACTTACTGAGGTTGCCAAAACTTGATACCTGCTGTCTATGAAACTTTGCTGATTCCAGGTAAAATCTGTTTGCCTCATCACTTTTTTCCATTAACTTGCATTTCCCTCTGAGGAGGTGACCATGACTGTAGCTTGGTGTTACCTAACCAGTATTTTGTTCCTCAGAAACCACTAGTGTTCCTTTGGAGGCTAAAAAGAAGTCACGGACTCACGAATGACCATGTTTCATAGGATAAACTCCTGTGCTTGTTTTCCCAAGTGTCAGTTCTCTTCTTGTGGGATCAGTCTACCTACATGACCTTCCTGTAGGTGCACAAATATCTGTGCACACTGAACCTTGCCCTCCCCTGTTCCCCATGTCTCAGCAAGTACACTAGAGTGCTATTTTATTCCCATTTTTCCCACTTCCTGCCTGGCAAATCTCAGCTCTTGGCAAAAGACATTCTCAGTTGTGCAGCTGTGCCTGGGATTGAGTCTCCTAATGGAATTCAGACAATTGTTGGCTTTTCTCTGTGTGTTTCAGCCATGGATTGCTTGCTCTGTTGCAGCTCATGATGCATATGACACGTGATATATCCAATCCTGCTCCAGGGGGAGTGGGAGAGAAGCTCGGGGACACTCTTCATTTAATGCATGCTACCAGAGCCTGAGTTACATCCACAGCTTAATGAACTTGCCATTATTGTTTGGGATTATTTAGCACAGTGCTAGGAAAAGCAGGGAGTGTGGCATGGTGATTGTGCCATTGTTATAACTGCATCCAAAGGAGTGTGGGCAGCAGGTCAAAAGAGGTGATTCTGCCCCTCTACTCTGCTCTTGTGAGACCCACCTGGAATACTGCACACAGTTCTGGTGTCCTCAACATAAGGACATGGAACTGCTGTTAGAGCAAGTCCAGAGGAGGCCACAAAGTTACTAAGAGGACTGGAGCATCTCCCCTATGAAGACAGGCTGAGGGAGTTAGGGCTGTTCAGCCTGGAGAAGAGAAGGTTGTCTGGAGACACAATAGCAACTTTTCAATATCTGAAGGGCCTACAAGGAGCCTGAGGGACTCTGTGTTAGGAACTGAAGTGATAGGAGAAGGGGTAATGGATTCAAACTGAAAGAGGGGATGTTTAGGTTAGATATTAGAAAAAAGTATTTTTCCTGTGAGGGTGGTGAGACGCTGGCACAGGTTGCCCAGGGATGTGGTGGCTGCCGTGACCCTGGCAGTGTTCAAGGCCAGGTTGGATGAGGCCTTGAACAACCTGATGTAGTGAGCTGCCCATGGCAGGGGGGTGAAACTAGATGATCTGTAAGGTCCATTCCAACCCCTAAATTCTATGTTTCTATGATAGACTATGGCTCTTGGTACTTGTAGATGCAAAATTAGGACTTGGAGTGAAGTGTTGTTGCAACTACAATGTTATTACTCAAAGGCAGAATACTTCCCAGGGTTAGAGGCTTTTATGATGTGTAGTCTGGGTGTGTATCTCCAGCAGTTCCTCATTAATCCTGGGGTTTGTGTTTATCAGCCAATAGCAAACTGCAGGAGGAGCCAGTGCCAGTGTACCCAGGTGTAAGGGAGGGCACGTTGTCTAACACATTGTCTAGAGTGACTGCAAACCGAAATGGGTTTTATTTCCCTCAGCTGGGTGTGCTGTGCTCCCATGTTGGCCGTGTACATGTGTGCTGCATGTCTTGAAGAACTTGAGAGACTAATGAGCAATCTTATGTCCATTTCAGTCGGTTTCAAAGCTGCCATGGGTACTTAGCAAATTTGTCAAGGGGTTATGGAACCTGGTGCAGTTGCATATCTGCTAAGTTTTCATTTGCTCAATTAACCTCCGTTTTTTTCTCGCATATTTTAATATTGTCTTTATGCCGAGAAAGTGTGGTTGCTGCAGTAGGAGACGAAGGTGAGTATACCATGGAATCACAGGGTTGCTGTGGACATTGAGAGCTCATGCAGTCCATAGTTTTGTCCAAAACCAGAATCTATTGTCCTTGTGTCTATTTGTCCAGCCTCTTTGACTTCCAGATTCAGAGACTTCACAGATCCTGCACATTCTGTTCCATTATCCTCACCAAGGTGACATTCTCCCAGTGTTTGGTGTAAACCTTGCATCATTCCAAGCCTGTAACACATGCTCTTTTAAGCATGAATGTGGAGATGTTTATGATTCGTTTTGCTTATTTTTAAGTGTCTAGAAGTGTAATTAAATACCTGTGGATAGTGAAACCCTAGAAAAACTATTCTAAGCAGGCTGTGGTATCGCTTTTGCTTTCAAAGGTTTGTAAGAGCAGCTTGCAGTGATGTTAGGTAAGAAATCTGGTCACGCTTCAGAAAGGGAATTGCCCCTTCTGGAAACTGGGCAGGATGACCACTTAGGGTCCTTGTGGAGTCATAGACTTACTTTTGACCTATGATCATTTTAAAATTAAAATGAGCACTTGCAGGACCTTGCTTTGATATAAAACAGAAAGACATCTGTCTTCATGCTCGGGTTACTTCATAGAATTGTAGAATCATAGAATTTAGGGGTTAGAATGGACCTTACAGGTCATCTAGTCCCACACCCCTGCCGTGGGCAGGGACACCTCCTCACTAGATCAGGTTGCTCAAGGCTCATCCAACCTGGCCTTGAACACCACCAGGGTCAGGGCAGCCACCACATCCCTGGGCAACCTGTGCCAGTGTCTCATCACCCTCACAGAAAAACACTTTTCTCTCACATCCAACCTAGACTTTCCCTCCTTCAGTTTGAACCCATTACCCCTTGTCTTAACATTGCAGTTCCTAACACAGAGTCCCTCTCCAGCTCCTTGTAGCCCCTTCAGATCTGGGGTCTCCACACAACCTTCTCTTCTCCAGGCTGAACAGCCCCAACTTCCTCAGCCTGTCTTCATAGGGGAAATGCTCCAGTCCTCTTATCAACTTTGTGGCCTCCTCTGGACTGGCTCCAACATTTCCATGTCCTCCTTATGTTGAGGACACCAGAACTGCAAGCAGCAGCTCTTGATAACTTAAACAATTTGAGCTATGTATGTTTTCATATTTGGGGTATTTCTTTTGCTGTCTGTGTAGGGGAAACATGCTATCTTTTTTCCCAGGTGTTTCTTCACTTTGTAACCTCAGAGCTGGACTGATTTTCTGTAGTAAGCATGATTTTTCTGTGGATTTTAATCCCCACTCAGGTTCAGAGGAATATATTAACTTTGCCTGCTCACAGCAGCTAACCTCAGGGTTGGGCTGGGCAGTAGTGGCCACTGGAGAGATGGACCAGGTGCTAACTCACCAGGATAGATGTCACCAGCAGTATCCAGCATGGCACAAGGCCAGATATTGGATGTCTAAGAAGGATTTTGGCAGGAGAGTTTGGAGGAATTGAGAATTCTATGTTGGATGACTTGGTTAAGCAGAGATTTGGGACAGAAGGGAGGCAAAGATTTGGGATAGAGCGGTGAAGGGTGGGTATGACAGACTAGGTGGCTGACAGAGGTGTGTGGGGCTTAAACGTGGGGATGGAGCACACCTGGAATGGTGTGAATTTGGAGGATTGAAGATCTGATGTGGCTTGTAAAGAGCCTCTGGGGCAGGAAGAGTGTGAAACCAGGGCAAGGACCTAGGGAGTGAACTCAAAGGATTCCTGTCAGGTGAGATGAGGCTCTCTGGAACTGTGAGGTCTCCAGGGGAGAAGGTGAAAACTTTCTAAGTACCTAGAATATCTCTAACTTCAGGATTGGGAACAGATGCCTGTGGCCTCCTTTATTACCTCATACAATAGTCACATCAGAAATGGCTTTTGGAGGCCTCACTGACAGTCATGGATCAGAATTCTCTTACAGCCCATCTCAGAAGTTTTTTTCTGTGTTTCGATGCTGTCCAAAGTACCTGAATTTGATCTCATCTGAAATATTTGATTTTTGTGCCCTGACAAGTTGTATTATTTTTGTGTTCTTATTCAGGCCTACTCAAGGAAGTAGAATTTTTATCCAAGGAGAAATTAGAGCTTCAGTGTCAGGCAGAAAAGGACCATTCCAACTTACGCTCTCAAATGAAGGTTTTGGAGGTGGAACTGGAAGAACAGTTGCTCAGTAACCAAGACCTCTCTGCACGGTTACTGGAGGTTGCAGAGTTAAAACAGCAAATCCAAGTTCTTGAAAAACAGCTTAAAAATCAGCGACAGTTCATGGACGTAAGTAAACTTAGGACCACATCTCCATGGGTTTGGAGGGGATAAATGTCTTCCTGGTTTGTGACTGAGACTTGGAAGATGGTTCCTAAAATGAGATATTTTCTGGTTTGTTTTAAATTAAGACCTTGGTATTTTAGCCTCATAAAAGAAAAAAAAAAAGGTAGTGCATGGTAATTTTTCCAGTTTATTAATTGATAGTTGTGGTTTTGTTTGTCCATTGCAGGCAAAAAAGTGAGTTTTTCTTTCCCTGTAACTGTAGATATGCTTTCAGGACTATAAAAGTTGTTCATTACTTTTAAATCAGTACAGTTTCTTCACCACAAAAGCAAACCCCAAATTATTCTTGTACTCAATATTGCAGTGAAATGCAAAGTGTCTTAAAGAACATTTTCACTCTCTCTGGCTGCCAGGAACAAG